CTCTTCTGCCCTGTGCCCTCCAAGCCCCTGCTTGGTCCCTGCTGCTCTCAGCCCTGCCCTTTCTGGCCTTGGCTCTTGGGACCCTTCCTCCTGCCTTGTCATGAACTCTAAACTTGGGTTCTGGGCCTTTGCACACCTGGCCTTTGCCCAGGGCCTTTCTGCCTCCCTGTCATGTTCACGTGGCTGGTGGGGCCCCTGTTGTGTGTGTAGCTTCGGAATGGGAAGGGATAAATGGCAAAAACCTCCCCATCTGCCTGCACAATGTCACCTGTCCTGAGGTGGCAGGGTGGAGTAGGCAGCTGGCCTGAGTGTGAACAGGGCTGTGATGAGCAAGCACACGAGGACCTTTGGGCCACCACAGCAAAGGGTGGAGCTTTCTAGTCCTAACTAAGTGGCAAACATTTCTGCTTGGGTATGAGAATTTCCAGCCCATTGCACTGGTGCTGCTGGACATTTGTTTGCTCTCCTGTTGTTTATTTCCATGCTGCGGATGGAGACCTGAGCCTGCAGCTGCTAGGCAGGCGCTCATTACTGAGCTGCAACTCCAGTTCTGAAGATGTGCTTTGTTACAACTGAGTTTGTGAGGGACAGTACTGTGAAGCTGGCATGAGCTAGGATTAGGTGGAAACTGAGGAGGTGCTGGTACTTTGTTGCCTCTGGCCTCAAGCATGGCTTTTTCAGCTGGGCCAGGTGGTGTACACCTGTCTGAGGCACTGCTCTGGGAGACTGAGGTGGGAGGATTGCAAGTTGGAACCCAGGCTGGGTGGGTTAGGGATTTAGCAAGGCCCTGTCTCAAAAAAATAAAAGGGCTGGTGTGTAACTTAGTACAAAGGCCCTGGCTTCAGTCCCCTGGAGGGAAAAAGCAAAACAAAAAACAGCCCTTTCCTGCAGCCTTGGTATTCAAGGTACCACATGGGAACCCTGATCAGAAGCTGTCCACTGGTCAGGCACGGGAGCATAGCATGCTTCCCAGGAGGTTTTATTTTTTTTAAGATTTCACAACTTTTTAAGTTTTTTGAGACAGTCTCACTATGTAATTCAAGGTAACTTTGAACTTTCTCTGTACCCAGGCTGGCGTCAAACTGATAATCCTCCTGCCTCAGTTTCCTGAATGCTAGGAAGGGAGATGCGTACCACCACACTTTGCTAAGATTTCAAAACTTGTGAGACGAATATAAAGTTTGAGCTGCGTTTTCATTCATATTTTATGGTACTGGAATTGAACCAAGGGCTTTTGCACTGAGCTGTATCTCCAGGCCTTTTTTAATTTTAGAATAGGGTCTTGCTAAGTTGTTAAGTTGCGTGGGCTGGGCTTGAACTTGAAGTCTTCCTTGCCTCACCTTCCCCGAGTGCTGGGATGACAGGTGTGCACTACCATGCCTAGTTTATTTCTTTTAGTAACATCAGTCATTGTCCTAAATGAGGGTTCCCTGGGCACTGTGTAGACTGGGGCTGGCAGGTAGTCGGAAGATGGCCTTTGCTTACCCATCATGTTGCTGCTCTGCTGAGCTGTCCTTTGAGGCCTCTTTATGACCCCTCCTATTCCCACCTATTCTTTTTGTTTTGAGACAGTCTCCCTATATAGTCTGGGTTGGCCTTGAACTCACTGTGTAGCTAGCCTTGAATACATGATGATCCTCCTGTCTCAGCCTCCTGAGTGCTGGGTTACAGGCACGGGCCGCCACACCTAGCTCCTACCTATTTCTGGACAGGGACCTGAGAACCCCGTAGTTTGCCTAAGGCTGCCGTAGATAGAGACATGACTGTGCCCTCCCAGGCTCGGGCACCTAACCATCCTTTCCTCGTCTTTGGTCCCAGGGCGGCTCACTTGGGTCACACAAGGCTGAGAGGTGCTTTTGGGCAACCACCCTTGGGAAGCCTGGGGGCCAGCATGGAAGGTTTGGGCACGTGGGGCCAGGTCCTGCCTATACTTCACGGTGAAGGGCTTGAGGCCTTTGGATGCGTCTCTGCCTGTGTGCAGGCAGCAGAGCAGCCCAGAAGCCCCTCTGCCCAGGCAGGGTAGCCATGCAGCTTTAGAAATGCTGGCTGCAATCAGGCGTGGTGGCGCGCACCCGTCACCCCGCACTCAGGAGGCCGAGGGAGGAGGAGGATAAGTTTGAGGCTTCCAAAAGTGAAAAAAATTCCTGACTGGATTCAGTTAGTTTAGCAGGGGCCCTTAGAATCTGAATTTTTCAAAAGAGCACACTAGGGAATTCTGGTTCACAGTGGGGGTTGAAATGGCCTGTTTTCCAACCCCTGAGTTCGTGTATGAAGAAGTATCTTACTGCTGCAGCTCACATAGCTGGAGAGAAGTGTGAAATTCACATGGAACTGATGAGGTGTCTGAGAAATTTCATTAGGCTACACTTTTGGTTTTTTGGAAGTGTTAATATGTAGCCATTTATACTTTACGCCACGGAATATTTCTAGTTTAGGGTCTTAGTGTACAGTCATCTCTTGTTATTCTTGAGGGCCCCTGAGGACACCAGAATCAGCAAATGTTCAAGTCTTTTCAGTAAAACAGGTAGAGCTGGTGGGCACAGGGCCGTAATTCCATCATTTTGAGAGGCTGAGGCAGGAGGAGCACAAGTTCAAGTCTGATTTGGGTGACTTAGCAAGACCCAGTTTCAAGACATGAAAAATAAGTGAGGGGCCGGGAACATAGTTCAGCGGTAGAGGGTCCCTGGGCTTAGTCCCCTCACCATCCATCATCAGTGAATCCGCCAGGCAGTGGGTGGTTTTTGCACAGAACCCACACACCCTCCCCAGTGGCTCCTGACGCCCAGTTCAACGTAAACGCTGTGGCATGGTGGTGCCGCTGTGTTGTCTGGGGTAACACACGGGCTTCAGTGTGAATTTGGGTGTTCAGTATGGGTGGGACTTTGTTTTCAATTTTTTTTTCCTTTTTGGCGGTACAAGGGATGGAACACCAATCTGAGGTTGGTTTAATCTGTGGACACTGATTAATATTTTATTATTTCTTTTTTTTGTGAGTGGTTGATATGGATTTTTTTTTGGACAGGGTCTCACTATAGAGTCTAGACTGGCCTTGAATTCGATACATAGCCCAGGCTGACCTTGAAGTCATGGTGATCTTCCTGCCTCAGCCTCCTGGATGATGGGATTACAGACGTATGCCCCTGAAATAGCCAGTTTTTTTCCTTATGAAAGATGTATAAATTTTCTACTTTTCTGTTAGCAGTGCTGTATGGAAAGAAAGAACATTGTCATTCTCTTGCCACATTCCTTATTTTAATTTATGTGACCCTGAGACAAATATCTAAGTACTTTTGAAACTTTTTTTCAGGGCTGTGGATGGAACTCAGGGCCTTGCATATGCCAGATAAATATTTTAGCACTGAGCTGCATTGCTAGACCATCCTCCTGCCTCAGCCTCCCAGAGTACTGGGATTACCAGCATGCACCACCATACGTGGTCAGCCCTATTTCTTCCAGGTAATTTTAGATTGCCTCTGATGTTTTGTTTTTGAGACAGCATCTTGCTTTGCAGTTCAAGCTGGCCTTTAACTCAGTATGTAGCCCAGGCTAGCCTCAAACTTTTGGCAGTCCTTCTGTCCTACCTCTTGAGTTCTGAGATTACAGGCATCCACTACCAGTCTTGCCTGTTGTTCTTTTTTTATTTTTTTGAGACAGGGTCTTCCTATGTAGTTTAGCTTGACCTTGAACTCACTACCCTAGATGGGCCTTGAACTCACAGCAGTCCTCCTTTCTCAGCCTCCTGAGTGCTGGCATTACAGATGTGAGCAACCACATCCAGCTTTGGGTTGCATTCTGGGTATTGTGAGTGATGTTACCAGAAAGTGACTGTCAGGCCCTCAAAGCCAAGAGGAAGGCCAGGGTCTCTTATGAGTTTTTCTAAGGATGTTTGGCTCAAGCCCTTATTGGCGGTATTTGCGGTGTGTGTCTAGGAGCGGACTCACCTGTCAGGTGCCAGCACTTTCTTCTTGGAGGCTCTGTCAGCCTGTTCCCCATAGCAGCTGTGCCTTCGTCATTTCCACGCCCAAATGTGAGGGTCCAAGTCTCCAACTCCCATGCCTTTGTTCTTCCTCCTTTTCTTTTCTTTTTCTTTTTTTTTTTGTTCGTTTTTTTGAGACAGGATCTCACCATGTAATTGAGACTGCCTGGAACTCACTATGTAGCCCTGGCTGGTCTCAAACTCACTGCGGTCCTCCTGCCTCAGCCTCCCGAGTGCTGGGATTACAGACGTGCGCCACCACGCCCAGCTCCTCCTTTTAAATCAATAGCAGTTAAGACCCTTTGAGATACAGGCAGGGGTCCTCCCACCCCAGCCTCTGGGTGAGCACTAAGGACCCCAGAGCAAGACCTTGTAACTTGAGGCATGAGGCACGAAGGTAGGTTACGTGACCCTTGCTCCATTGTCCTGAGTTGTCATAAAATATTTAACCCAGCGTCCTGTGGGACAATGGCCTCTGCCCTGTGTCCCCATGGCAGGTGACAAGGCAGGTCTCTGGCTCCTTAAGCGTATGGCTTGGGGTGACAGGAGAGGCATGGTGCATGCTGAGGGTGGTGAGGGCAGTTGCATGGAGATGTGGGACCATCCCACTGTCTGCAGTGCCAACCAGCTTTGGGAGGCAGCTGCCCTGTGTAGAGCGTCCAGTGCCCTGGACCCTGCCATCGGGGAATGGCTCTTGGTTCCATTATGAGTACCACAGTTGCTGGGGCGGGTGTGAGCAGCACCTTTGAGTGAGCTCATGGAGTCGCCCAAACCACTGCTGTCCTTGTGGGCAGTTTGGGTTCCCCTGGGACTGATGCAGCATTGGCTTTACTGTGGGTGGAGCTGCTCCCCAGGGCTGCATCCATTCGTCACACAGCAGGGCCGTTGGGTCAGAGCTGAGTGAGCCAGGAGACTGGTGCTCAGTGGTGGGAACCTGCACATGGGTCAGAGCCGCCCACGTGCTATGCCCAGATCTGAAAATACCCAGATGTTGTCTGTGCACTGCACAAGGGACTAACAAAACATGCCCATGCTCGTGCTGGAGAACCATGTGTCTGTCACCATTGTCCACTTCCTGTCTCTTGGCTTGCCTGTTCTGGATGTTACCTATTTGTGGAGCCCATGTGTCCTCCCGGGTCTGCTGCTCTCTGGAATGGATCTTAACTGTTTTAGCTAAATGTCTAGTTTATATTGGTGTTGTTACTTTTTTCTGTTTTAGGCAAAATACATCTCTCAGTGCATTGATGAAATCAAGCAGGAGCTGAAGCAGGACAACATAGCTGTGAAGGCCAATGCGGTCTGCAAGCTGACGTATGTAAGTGACCTTCGCTGTTCCTCGGTGGCACCTGTTGCTGCCAGCCCCCCCCGTCCATCCACCCCACCACGTGGGTGTTTGTCCACCCATCAGTCCGTCTACAGCCATCACTGCCCTCCACTATGTGGAGCTAATCAGAGTGGGGACTGGGGTATAGCCAGCCCCGAGAGCACCCCTCCAGCAGGGCTTCGGGCTCCAGTTCAAAGCAGGCACCCCACCTGTCTGCCTCCTCAGACACGGGGAGACTGGCTGTCCTGCCAATCCCTGCTGCAGGCATTTGTCACATTGTAGCTGTTATGAGGAGCTGCTTTGCTAGTCACCGTTGGGGCCTGTTACACAGTATAAATAAGCGCCGTCTTTTCAATAGTAGGAGCTTGTTGTCTTTTTTTATCTTTAATTGAGTTTATTGGTATAATTCTGATATGCATAATGGTCACACTCATTGTATGGAATGTCTTGTTTTGTTTTTCTTGGTGTTTTGAGACGGTCTCACTTTGTAGTTCCGACTGGCCCCGAACTCTCTGTGTAGCCTAGGCTGGCCTCAAACTCATGGCGATCCTCCTGTCTCTGCCTCCTAAGTGTTGGAATTACAGGTGTGCGCCGCCACGCCTGGCTTATCAAATGGAGTTTTTACTTGTACATGATGTGTCTTGATTCATATATATTTTTTTTACCATTCTTCTTCCTTATTGTCTTTACATTCTTTCCCCCCTTTTGTGGTACTGGGGATGGAACTGGGGGCCTTAGCACTAAGCCACATTCCCAGCACCCCCCTTTTGAGACAGTCTCAGGAAGTTGCTGAGTTACCCAGGCTGAACTTGACCCTCCCCTCATCTCCTCTCCGTTCTGTTCTTCTCTTCTCCTCTTCTCTGCTCTCTCTTTCCTCCTTTTCTCTCCCTCCCTCTCTCTCCCCTCCTTCCTTTCTCTCTCTCTCTCTCTCCCTTTCTCAGGCTGGCCTTGAACTCATAATGATCCCACTGCCTCAGTCTCCGAGAGTGCTGAGATGACAGGTGTACGTCACTATGCCTGGTGCTATAGTCTTTTAGTATTCGTTAACCCATCCCTGGGATTTTATTTTTTTCTTAAGAGTAGGAAAATTGGGGAATAGGAATAGTTCCTGAGAGACAGGAGGAGTCCCGAATGGGTTGCGCCATCCCTGAGATTTTAAATATCAGAGTCCTTCATAAAAAGCATGGGAATGGAGTGGGAATGTCAGGGCTGTTAGGGTTTAAACCCTTCCTTCCCCTCTGCTATGGCTCGTGAGTTAACCTTACCATACCTTCTCCTCAACAGTTACAGATGTTGGGGTATGACATCAGCTGGGCTGCCTTTAACATCATTGAAGTGATGAGTGCCTCCAAGTTCACGTTCAAGGTAAGGGTTAGGGACAGTGAGGTGGGAGGTGAGTGGGAGGTCTCTGTGGAGGAGAGACCCTTTCCTCAAACACTGACGTCCCTGGAGGTCATCCTGCGGCTGCCCTTCTCATGTTCGGAGCCTTGCCTGGCAGCTGTGAGGGCACTGTTGTGTGGTATCACCCAACTACTGTGAGCCAGGCTGTGGGCACCAGGTAATTGTCCTGAAACCTACCTCCATGCCACTTCCCAGGTGGTGAGCTCAAGTGCAGGAAGACGTTCTTGTTTTTAAAAAATTCTCTGAGCCGGGGGTATTGTTCAGTGGCGAGTGCTTGCCTAGCACACATGAGACCCTGAGTTATGTCACTAGTGCCTCAAAGAAAAGAAAAAGAACAAAACGTCAAGCATGGTAGCACACACCTGTTATCCCAGTACTCTGGGAGGCTGAGGCAAGAGGGTCACAAATTTAAGGCCAGCCTGGACGATGCAGTGACTTAGCGAGACCTATTCTCAAAAATGGAGGGCTGGGGATTTAGCTCAGTGGTTCAGTGGCCTGCCTTGCAAGCGTAAGGACCTGAGTTCAAGAAAAAGAACAAAACGTCAAGCATGGTAGCACACACCTGTTATCCCAGTACTCTGGGAGGCTGAGGCAAGAGGGTCACAAATTTAAGGCCAGCCTGGACGATGCAGTGACTTAGCGAGACCTATTCTCAAAAATGGAGGGCTGGGGATTTAGCTCAGTGGTTCAGTGGCCTGCCTTGCAAGCGTAAGGACCTGAGTTCAATCCCCCCAAAATACCAAAAAAAAAAGGGGGGGGGCCGGTTACATAGCTTTGTGCCAAGGCCCTGGGTTCAATCACATATCAAACTCTGTATTTCAGTATTCATTCAGGAAAGCTTGTGTTATAAATAAAAGCAAGGCTGGCAAGATATATAGTGGTTTAGAAGACCCTGTTTTGCCAGGTGTGGTGGCATGTACACAGATGTGATCCCAACACTTGGGAGGCTGAGGCAGGAGAATCACCTCAAGTTTAAAGCCACTCTGAACTGCATAGCAAAACTTTGCCTCAAGAAAACAAAAATTGGGGCCGGGGATTTAGCTCAGTTATGCTGCTGCATGCCTCGCAAGCACAAGGTCCTGAATTCAATCTCCAGTACAAAAAAAAAAAAAAAAAAAAAAAAAAAAAAAAAAAAAAAAAAACAAAAAACAACAAAAAAAAAAAAAAAAAAAAAAAAAAAAAAAAAAGAACAAAATTGAGAAGAGCTGGGGTGCAGCCCAGTGGAAAGGCCCTGGATTCCATCTCCAGCACCTCAAAACAGCAAAGAAAAAAATCCCTAACATAATAAAAACTCACTAATAAACTAGTCTAGTTCCCTGAACTTTCTCCACTTAAGTATCTTTAAAGATTTTGTCAACTTATTTATTATTGTTGTTACTATTTTGCGGGGGATACTGGGGATCAAACTCAGGATCTTGTGCTTGGCAAGGCAAGTGGCAGCACCACTGAACTAAATCCCCAGCCAGTTGTTGTTATTATTGGTGGTGGTACAAGGGACTGAAACAGGGCCTTTGCACTGAGCTTCATCCCCAGTTCTTTTTTTTGTGTGTATGTGTGAAGGTACCAGGGATTGAACTCTGGTCCTTGTGCTTACGAGGCAGGCGGTGGAACCACCGAGCTAACTCCCCAGCCCCACCACAGGTCATTCTTGATGGAGAAATGCTTAGGGCAGCCAGTGTGCGTGAATATTGAAAGCAGTCTGTGTGTTTGGGAGCACAGCTCTGCATGTCCCCTGAAGCCTGGTATAGTGAGCTCTGCGTCTTCCCAAAGCCCTGCACCTGGGCCTCCCTGTGTTGGAGCCCAGCCTTTCCCCGGCTGCCTCAGGCCTGTTGGCAGCCCTTGTGTGAATGCTGTGCCTCAAGGGACACGTGCCCAGCGCTGTGGGGAGTTCCTCCTTTTGAGTGTTTTGAGGACTGGTGTGATCTGCTGGTGGCCTCCAGGTGCCCCAGCCGTGGCCCCCAGAACCTAGGCTGCCCAGGAGGCCTCAGGCATCTGCTCTAAACCTTGGTCTGCTATTGGCTCCACAGCGCATTGGCTACCTCGCTGCCTCCCAGTGCTTCCACGAGGGCACCGACGTCATCATGCTGACCACAAATCAAATCCGCAAGGTAGGCCCTATGCATAAGCCTTCAGGCCTTGCCCCTGAGGTGGCTGGCCTCGCACTCACGTGACAATTGGCCAGCCCAGAGCCGATGGCCCAGCAGGTGAGCAGGTCTCACATGCCTGTGGTTCGTTCCCTCAGTAAGCTGATGTGGCTCTGGTGTGGCCGTGGTGTTGACTTGGAAGACGTGAGGCTATGGCCTTTGTAAGTCTGCACTCCTGGGCTCTGGCTGATTTGTGAGGCTGGGGTGTTGCTGAGCGTCCCCTTTCTCATGTCCTCTGAATGGTGTAGGGCTTGGGCAGTCCCTCCATTTCCCATTCCTCTTGGAGCCACGCCTGCCCTGCTGGGTTCTGTACCTTTTCCCACCCCTGGGCATCTTTTGCACCTGGACCTTGGGGTTATGTGACGTGTATTTTCAGGCTTATGCAGGTTTTTCTAAACTTTTATGTTTTGTGGTACTGGGGATTTAGCCTAGGGCCCAGGGCTTTCGAACTGAGCTACATTCTCAGCATTTTTTATTTTGAATTAGTCGCTGTGCTGTCCAGGCTGTCCTTAAACTTGCTGTCCTCCTGCCTTAGCCTCTGAGAGTACTAGGGTTATAGGTATGCACCACCACACAGCTTAGGTTTGTTTACCTTTTAGGATGGTCTTTGAGGCTGTGAAGCAAGCATTTCCTCTCGGGCCCCAGTCCTTTGAGCATCTTTCCTTCCTGTCCTGTGATGGCTTTGTCACAGGTACTGGAGCATTGCAGTCACCTTTTCAGTGGGTGCCTGGCCCATCGCTTGCCGCAGACTGTGTATCAGAGGCCACAGCCCTGGGGCCGGGGTCAGGGCTGGACCTTGGGAGGTGTCACTGGCCCTGCAGGTGACCATGGGCATGTGGGGAGTTGATACTTGGTGCAGGAACCCTGACTCCACCCCTGTGCAGCCTGTGGTCGGCTGGGCTACCTACCTGCAGCGTAGTGTGATCCTCAGGGCTGTAGGGTGAGGTGCCTGGAGAGAGGGGTGGGCTCCCAAGAATGAAAGGTGAATGGCAGGCGAGGGGGGTGGGCTCTGGCTGTCTCCAGCAGCACCTCACTGGGGTTTGGACACAGGCTTGTCATCCTGCCCGAAGTGTGCTGAGGCGTAGGTCAGGCCCAGGTGATGGGGATCCTTCCTAATGGAGCACACAACATGTTGGCCCCATCAGGAATGCTTGGGGGCTGCCAGTGTCCCCGCCGCTCCCAGCTTCACAGGTGCTGTCCTGGACATGGCAAGGTGTCTATATAGCCACAGCCCAGCTACTGATAAGCATTCCCTGTGTTGTGTGAGGTCACCACGGATGTGTGTTCCAGGTGTGCGGTCCCTGTGCCACTGTACCCGAGACCCACTTCCCAGGGCCTTGAGGGCAGGGGCTCTGGGAAAGGGCTGCTCTGGGCTCATTGGCTGCATCTCTGGGCGTTCCCTTCTAGAAGGCCCTGAGGCCGTGCCTTCAGCAGCCCTCCTTCTCTTCAGGGGCCCTTGGTACAGGGTGCTGTGTCAGGGGTCAGCTGTTGAGGGGAGAAGGGCTGTGCTAGGGCTTCTGATGCAGTTTCAACCCTGGGCCTCATTGCAGAGGGCTCCTCACCCACATCTTTTACCATGGAAGTCGCCTCTCACCCCAGGCCCTGGGCCTTCACACTGAGCTACATTCCCAGCCTTCTTCATGTTTTATTTGAAAGAAGCTCTCATTAAGTTGCCCAGGCTGAAGCTCCAACTTGTGATTCTCTTGCCTCCCAGAGTGCTGGCGTGCACCGCCATGGCTGGCGGAAGTTAGCTCTTAGTGCACCTGGCGTGTCTGTGGTCTACAGTTGGGAGCTCTTTCAGAAAGCCCATCCCTAGAAGGGTATGCGGTGTCTGCATCGTGCAGCTTAGAGTCAAGAGCAACCTGTGCTCCTGTTAGTTAGGACAGAAAGCCTGCATGGCTAGAGGAAGCACAAAGGAGGCTTCTCCCGGGCTGGGCCGCACTTTCCTTTTCCAGGGAAATGTGTTCTGCCCCCAAGCCAGAGCTTACAGCTGTGGGAGGGACGTAGAGATGTGTCCATTTTGCTGTTGGTGATGAGGCCTGGGTAGAAGCAGAGTTCCTGGGCTACATCCTGTGGGGCTCCTGCTGTCCTGGGCCCGCAGGGGGTTGGTTATGGTGTTCTCTGGTCTCCTGGGACGCAGGGCTGTGCTGGGAGCTGGACAGTCCTTGCCCAGGCTTTGCGATGACTGGTGAGCCAGGCTCCCTGTCCTCTGGAGCCAACAGACTCTGGCTCTCATTCCTGGTGCTTTGCGTCCATGTGTTCATCCTTCCCAGCTTCTCTTGGTGGCACTGTGGAAATGGCAGGGATTGTCCCCTTGCCCAGACCCAGTGTCAGGCCCCCAGTGGGGCAGTGAGATATGGGCATACCTTTTGTGGTGGACACGCTGCCCGCTGCCTGAGGCCACCCCTCACTCTGACCTCTTCCCTGCAGGACCTGAGCAGCCCTAGCCAGTACGACACGGGAGTGGCACTGACTGGTCTGTCCTGTTTTGTCACCCCAGATCTTGCCAGAGACCTGGCAAATGACATCATGACACTGGTGAGTTTGTGAGTGCCCTGGCCACCGCCGTGAGAGGGCGGCACCTGGTACCTGGGGCTCAGGCATCGCCCCAAGGAAGCTCAGATAAGACAAGAGCCCCATTGTGGTCGCACCTGTGGGCCCTGCTCCAGGGCCACTTCACTCTTGAAGTCCTTCTACTGGCAGAAGGAAAGGCCATGTCCCTGGCCGATTGGGCCTGGTGGGATGTTTGTTTTCTTTCCAAGGCCTCAGTGGCCAGCCAGCTTCACTATGGTCCCATCCCTCCTCTGTCCCTCAGGCCACCCAGGTTCACCCTGTCCACAGTCTGGCTTCTCATGGCTACTCCCCATGTGGAGTCTCTATGGTGCTCTGCAACATGCCAGTCCTCCCAGCCCCCAGAATGGCGTGGTCACTGCATGGGGTAGACATCGGCACCAGGCTGTAGCGTCAGGGTGGAGGGTGGGCAACTGTGGGGAAGGCCTGGTGGAGGCCCTTGGTGTCCTACATGTCCCCGGGAGACAGCAGGCTCTGCCCTCTTCCTGTCCTGTGGGCCCCAGCACTGCCGTGGAGCAGGCAGAGGGTGGGGGGCAGGGAGTGAGAGTCAGGGCAGGTGGGGAGAGTAAGGGGCTCTTGGGTAGGCAAGCAGCAGGGCAGGTGGGGACGCAGGGTGCACGAGCCTGCGCACACCGCTGCCGCTCTTCACAGATGTCACACACCAAGCCGTACATCAGGAAGAAGGCCGTGCTGATCATGTACAAAGTATTCCTCAAGTACCCCGAGTCCCTGCGCCCTGCCTTTCCCCGCCTCAAGGAGAAGCTGGAGGACCCTGACCCTGGTTGGTGGATTGGCAGCTTGGGGCACTCAGCCCATGTCCTGGGCAGATGGAAGGGCTGTTGTGAGAGAAGGGTGGGGGGTCACTGGGTGCAGAACCCCCTGGAAATCCCCTGAGGAGTGTATGGTGACAGCTGGCTGTGGCCTCTCCACATCATGTCAGCCACAAAATGCAATAGCTGAGCAAGCGGGGCTAGCAGGGTCGTGGTGGACTCAAGGTCCATTATGGCCAGCCACCAGTAGGGTGACTCCTCCTTGGGGGGCTCTAGGGTGCTGGGATGATGCCCACCCTCCCTCCCCCAGTAGCCGACCTGGAGCCCAGAACAGCAGGTGAGCACACACAGTGGGGATGGAGGGGCATAGCCGTGTGTGGCGTTTTGTCGCAGCCATTGTATTTCAGTCCTTAAGATGGAGAACAGCCATCTAGGGATTAGGACAGACAGAAGGGATGATGGTACAGTCATAGGTCACAGCCACACAGCCGTGTCAGGGAATATGGATGAGGAGTGGGGTGGGGAGGGGAATGAGGGACCTAGGGCTACAGCCTCATTAGCCCAGGGATTGCAGTGGGTAGGGATTTCCTTTCTGTGTGGGCTTTTTTAGATAGTTTCACTGTAGAGTTCAGGCTGGCCTTGAACTCACTATGTAGCCCAGGCTAGTCTTGAACTTGCAGCAACTTTCCTGCCTCAGCCTCCCAAGTGCGGGGACCAAGGGACTTTAGAGCAAGTGGCACGACTCCCACAGGCATCCTGAGCCAAGAGGGTTTACCACATGTGTCTCATGGTCCACGAGGGGTGTAGTCAGTAGGTGAGTCCAGCAGGCTGTGTCCCGTGTCCTGCAGGGAGGACCCTCCAGGAGTAACTGCACCTCTGGCTGGGTTCTGTGGAGGAACAGGGGGAATGCAAGCTGGAACCTGTCTGGGTGACTGAACCCTGCTGCCAAGAAAGTGACACTGTGTTGACGGGCTGCTGTGGCAACCTAAGGCGTGGAGGGGTGGTCAGGAAAGTTAGCTGGTGCTTGAAAAGCGCCTGTGGCCCAGGACCATGGTGTGGGTGTGGAGGAAGGATGAGGCCAGGGTCTTTGGTGGGGCTGACCTGACAACGTCTGGTCTGTGCCACTCTTGTCGCGGGTGGCTCCTGTGCAGGGCACTGTGGAAGGGGCTGGGGTGCAGCTCCCACAGAGCACTTGCCTAACAGACACCAGGCTCCAGGTCTCAACCCCAGCACCGGGAAAGCAAACAGACCGTGGCCCCACCTACTACCTTTAGTCATGACGTGGCCTGATAGCCTCTTTGGGGTGTTATGGGGAGGTCGCTGGTGTCCTTACCTAGTGCTGCTGCTGACATTAGCTGTGGTTGCTTGGTTCAGGCGGCCCCACCAGGACACCCACTGTCCAGTTGCTCTCCTGGCCTTGTCACTGATGATGAGTACAGGTGTCCCTCCCTGTCTGGTTCCACCTCCACAGGTTTGGACAGCCTTGTATTGGAAATACTTGACAAAGAAATTACATTGGTACTGAATGTGTACAGACCTCTCTCTCTCTGTCTCTCTCTGTCTCTCTCTCTCTGTCTCTCTCTCTCTCTTTCTCTTTGTTGACAGGGTCTTGCTGTGTAGTTCAGGGTGACAGGGTCTCATTATGTGCCCCAGGCTGCCTTGAGCTTGTGGTGATCCTCCTGCTTCAGCCTCCCAAGTGCTGGGATTACAGGCTTGCGCCACCACACCCGAGTTCTTGTCATTATTCCTTAAACTCTGGTACAACGACATACATAGTGTGTCCATTGCATTAGGTATCACGGGTCACTTGGAGGTGGCTGGAAGTTGTCGGGAGGGCGTGCAGGTCCTACGCAAATGCTGTGCCATGTCAGCTAAAGGGCTTGAGTGTTCTTGAACCCTGGTCTGGAGGTCCTGGAACCTGGGTATGTGGGTGACACTGTCTGGTGGTGAAACTTGGAGCTGTGGGCCTTTGCTCTTTCCTGCTAACTCGAGCACCTGTGGGACAATGGCGATATGTGTGCCAGAGCCTGCTCTTGGTTCCCTCACTCCTGCGTTTCTTCCTTACCAGGATGCCCGTGAAGGAAGAGCTCTCCTACTTATTTACCTGTTTGTCCTCTGGTATCCTGGCATCATCCACAGCCATGTTTCCTTCTACAGGCTACAATCTACTGTCTGTCTAGCTGTCTAAAATTATCGTCTTTGGCCCCCACCCTGCAAGTGCTGGGGATGGAACCCAGGGTTTCACATATACTATGAAAGTGCTCACCACTGAGCTGCCCCTCCAGTACCCCCCAACACACCATTTGGGGTTTGACACAGGGTCTCATTATGTGTCCCAGGCTACCTTGAACTTGTGGTGATCCTCCTGCCTCAGCCTCCTGAGTGCTGGGATTTCAGGTGTGCGCCACCATGCCCAACTCTCCCCTTACCTTTGAGCATCACTTTACTTTCTGGCACCTCAGTTTGCTTCTACCTCGTCTGGAATACATGTTCCTCCATATAGCCCTGGCCCTGTGGTAGAACTGGAGTGTAGGGACTTCTGGGCCCCCTGCAGACAAAGCGAGGGAGTGTGTGTGTTTGTGTGTGTGTGTGTGTGTACTACCACCATGCACACCCGTCTCGGGGTCACTCTGGCTGGCTGAGTGCATGTACCATTCGCAAGCACATTCTCAAGCCTCCAGGGCCTATTGTGTGCCCCGGGTGCTTACCCACACAGATGTCCCCTTGTTGATGAGACTGCCCCCCCATCCCCCCCATGGTCCGCAGGGGTCCAGTCAGCAGCTGTCAATGTTATCTGCGAGCTGGCCCGGCGTAACCCCAAGAACTACCTGTCCCTGGCTCCACTGTTCTTCAAGCTCATGACATCCTCTACCAACAACTGGGTCCTCATCAAGATCATCAAACTGGCAAGTGCCGCCCTGGGATGGTGGATGTGATGCAGGCCTGTCTGGTGGGCTCTGATGCTGTGGAAGAGAGGCATAGTCCTGTCTGTGCAGCTGCTTTTGCTGCCCACGTGACCATGACCCTCTGTCCCTTCAGTTTGGTGCCCTGACCCCTCTGGAGCCAAGGCTGGGCAAGAAGCTGATTGAGCCCCTCACCAACCTTATCCACAGGTAGGGATCTCCTGGGCCACACCTGACTGGCTCCGGTGGGCTGTGGGGGCAACACACGACCTCTCAGTAGAGCCTTGCAGGGACACTAAGTGAGCGCTCTCCAAAGCAGCAGGGCACACCCCTACGATTTTGCAGCAGCCACTGAGCAGCCCTTCTGTGGTATCCCTTAGCCCTCCAGGGCCCAGTGTGGGGTTTTATACTTTGGAGTCCACTTTTGTTTCCCCATCAGTACTGGAGATTGAACCCAGGGCCTTTGCACTGAGCTCCATCCCCAGCCCCTTTTCATTTTGAGATAGGGTCTTGCTAAGGTACCCAGGCTGGGCTCAAACTTGTGGTCCTCTTGCCTCAGCTTCCTAGAGTGCTGGGATGACAGGCATATGCTGCTGCATCCAAATCCCTTGAATTCACTTTTAAGACAGTAACTGCAGGGTAAGCGTGGAGGTACATGCCTGTGATCCCAGGACTCAGGAGGCTGAGGAAGAAGGGTTGCCATAAGTTCAAGGCCAGCCTAGGCTGCATAGTGAGTTGAAGACCGGCTTTAACTGCATAGCAAGACCCTGTCTCAAAAAACCAATAATATGGGCTGGGGATTTGGCTCTGTGGCTCCGCTGCCTGCCTCTCAAGCACAAGGATCTGCGTTCCATCCCCGGTACCAAAAAAAAAACCCAATAAGTAAATAATAAAACATAAAAATAAAGCCCAGGGAAGCCAGGTCTGCTGCTGAGGCTAAGGTTTCTATGAAACCGTGAAAAATCCTACATGATCTTCCTCTCAAAAAAAAAAACAACAAAAAAATGGCAACTGCAGGATGGAAACAACGGGGAAGTCCTGTAAATGCATCAGCTGCTTAATGAAAAAGTCTAATGGAACTTCAGCCTAGGCTTGGAACCTTTTGGTTTAACCACCCACAGTTGCTGAGTCTGCAGTGAGGTGTGCGGTTTTCAGAGCTGTGTTGAGTGGCCTCAGTTCTCACTCCCCTGGGGGTTCAGTGTTTTGAGGTAGAACAGTCTCCTGCTGCCCAGTCTCCCCTCACAAGCTGCTGTGCTGGCTGTGTCCTCCTGAGGACTGGCCTTGGGGCCAGGACCCCACACCCTGCATCCTTTTCCTGGTTGTGCGCAGCTGTGCCCCTGTCCCTGTGGTGTCTGGGCTGCTAGCGGAGCTAGGGCTGGGGTTTTCTTTGCAGTCTCGCAGAGCTTAGGGACAGGGTCTGGAGCCTTCAGGCTAGGCCATCTTTATTCCCAGTAGGGGATGCTTTGTCCCTTGAACACAGAGAAAGCGGCTGGATGGGCCCTGCTGATAGGTGGCGGTTGGGTGGAGGACAAGGACAGGCCTGAGCAGGAGTACAGAGGGGACACCAGGTGACGGGTGGAGAGGGTGAGCTGGGCCACACAGTGGAGGAACCCAGGGCTGACTCAGATGTGAGGATTTCTCACACTCCCTTCCTGGGGAAGGTTAGGTAATAGTGACTATCACCTGTGGCTGGGCTCTACGGGTGACCATTGTATTGTGTCCCTGGGGCCTCCAGCAGTGTCCCCACCACATGTCTGATGTGACCTTGACCCCGGTCTTCATGCCACTTCCCTCCCTCCCTCAGCACGTCTGCCATGTCCCTTCTCTACGAGTGCGTGAACACCGTGATTGCAGGTGAGGCCCAACCGTGAGTTCTGCTCAAGAGCAGCTAGGGGGAGGGTGCCAGGCCCGGGGCACAGGAAGAAGCTGAGTGGAGGGGCTGCAGCTGGCGGGGCCCATAGCCTCCCCTGTAGTCAGGTGGCCACACCTCTGTGCCTTGCTCCCGCCATCCCTTGGTGCTGGGTGTCCCCTTGGGTGTGCAATAGAGCTCATGGTGTAGCCCTATCCTGGGCCCCTTTGTAGAAGTGAGGGTCAGAGTCCTGGGAAGCCCAGCTGCCCAGCACACCGTTTCCCCAGGGGCCACCTGGACACAACGAGCTGTGGCAAGATGAATGTCAGCACCCGGGGATGTTTATTTGTTTTTGTGTTTTTAGTTTTTTGAGACAGGATCAAGTTACCCAGGCTGATCTCAGACTTGCCCTTCTCCTGCCTCAGCCTCCTGACTACTGGGACTAGAGGTCCACTATGCCCAGCTAAAGCATGGGGCTTTTATGGGGGCAAATGGCCCCACTCCCTAGCTTGTGCCAACTTCCTGGACTCTAGAAGCCAGCAAGGGCTGAGCATAAACTACACTGTTTGCATCGTGGTTTAGGCCTGGAGCCCCTCCTGTCAGGCCAAGGTCCCCAGATACCACTGGGACAGTCACCTTCTGAGCACACAGCTGAGGCCTGGGGCAGCTCTGCTTAGATACTGCTTGGACAGAATGTCCAGTTTAAAGGCCTTGCCCCTCAGTCCTCTGGCTGGGCAGGAGTGCAGGATGACAGGCTGCTGGCTGCTTGGCTCCTGTGACTGACCTGGACTCTTTGTTTCAGTGCTCATCTCTCTGTCCTCCGGGATGCCCAACCACAGTGCCAGCATCCAGGTACGTCCCAGAACCGGCCAGTACCCTGCTGTGGGGTGGAGACGAGCACTGGGGGAGTCGATCCCCTGCATTAGCTGTGGCCCTGACGCTTCCACCTGACCACTCCCCTGTGGGCAGCTCTGTGTCCCCTGCACTGGAGTCAGCTTAACAGTTGAGGCCCTGTGGATGTCACTGGCTCATCACTGAAGACAGCTGTCCTGTGTCCCTGAGCCTATGACACTGATACAAAGCTCTGTCCCCTTGGTCTTTTGGGCCCAGGGTCTCCCTGATGACTCAGAGGCCAATGGCATGGTCACCTCCAGTCTAGTCTAGTGACCCAAAAAATACAGAGAGGAGGCCCTAACGGCCTCCCTGGCGCACCAGGGCGGGGCCACCTGCCCCACATGGGGTCCCACGCACAGCCTGTCCATCAGGGTGTCCATGGGTGCTCTGTGTTCTGGTCACCATGGTGTCACTCTGGCTTGTCCTTTCTGGCATAGTCACGTGGAATAAGTCTGCAGTGGATGGCCCCAGGCTACTCTCCTCCACTTGCCACCCTGCAGCATCAAGACTCCTGGCCCTGAGGCAGGCCCAGAGGTGGTAGAGTTCACGCTTGCTTTTTTTTTTGGTACCGGAATCGAACTCAGGATTTGAGCTTTTGAGGCAGGAGGCAGCACCACTGAGCTACATCCCCAGCCTCATGCTTGGTCTTGAACAGAGTAACCCGGTGGGTTTTCCTTTTTTCAGCTCTGTGTTCAGAAATTAAGGATATTGATAGAAGACTCCGATCAGAACCGTAAGTGATCCCTGCACCCCCAGGCTCTCATTTTCCCATTTTCCATAGCTTTTGTAGAATCTGATGGAAGGCGACATGAACATTGTGATGCCTGGTATCCTTCTCAGGGGGACTTTCAGGGTAGAGGCTGTGTGTGCTTGTCCCTGGGGACACGGCTACATGGAGCTTAGCAAGGACTCTGCACACTGAGATTATATGTCCCTGTCCCCATCCGACTAGACAAGTGGCACCTGGCACCCCTGGGAAGCCCTTGGTGTCTGCGCTGTTTCTGTGCCTTCTCACCCAGGCCCACCTGGTGCAGAACACAGCTCAGAGCTGCCTCCCATCCAGGGTGACGTTTTCCATGGCCACTTTGAGTCCCTGCCTTTTGGGTTAGAGGTGGAGGTTTCAGACTTTCCTTTTGGAGGTTAGGAAGGGCATGTTCACTGCCTTGGGGACGCCACAGTCTTGTTAGCAACTGTTTGCCTCTGTGTGGTTGCCCTAGTACCCCATGGCCAATTGGTGGTCCATGGCTGATCCAGGTCGGTCCCCTGTGGTGGGTTTCATCAGAGAAGCCCAGGCTGTGGCTTGTGGCTCTTTGTTCCCACAGTGTGTCTGCTCGATACCACAGGCTCGGCTATACTCTCCTTTATGCACCAGGTGTGGGCTGCTTGGGATAGATATTGAAGACCGGAGACCTGAGACCCGCACACGGCCCACAGGCCCGGACAGGGTGTGCACATCTTGCCCTGTGCTGGGATGGCGGGATGAGGGACAATAGCTAACAAGTATCATCATGCTCTACACTGGATAACAGGATGAGGAGGGTAGGCAGGTGGGGGATCAGGAGGCATCCTTACAGGCGAAAACCATGCCCGCCCTGAGATCTGCTTTTCCCACTGCCCCCTGAACTGAGCCTTCCAGGGGATGCACTGCACTGCCTGTACCCAGGTCTGCAGGGGGTGCCCACAGCAAGTGCTAGCCAGGGACGCGTCCCATCTGCACCGTGTTTTTTTGGGGTCAGACAGCAGCCAGACATGCAGGCAGTGATGCACCTCCTGCGAGGCCCACGCTGCCCCGTGGCACTGGCATCCTACTGTGTCCCAGGGCCCACAGCCTCTCGGTCTCCCCACAGTTAAGTACCTGGGGTTGCTGGCAATGTCGAAGATCCTGCGGACACACCCAAAGTCCGTGCAGTCCCACAAGGACCTCATCCTGCAGTGCCTGGACGACAAGGACGAATCCATCCGGCTGCGAGCCCTCGACCTGCTCTACGGGATGGTGCGCCCGGCCCCGCTCTTCCCTCCTTAGGTCTCGGTCTCCCGAGTCCCCTCTTGGGCAGGGTCGGTCAGCAGGCAGTTGGGAGCCACTGGGGCCAGCAGGGGCCACCTGCTCCAGGCTAGCCTATCGTGAGGCCCTGTCTGGACTGGGGAGGAGCAGGGCCATGGCCTGCAGTGGCTGACACACTGGCGGGTCTTCTTGTGGCCTGAGCTCCCTGTGTATCCTCAGTTCCCTTGGGGAAACACCAGTCCCTCAGTGCCAGCCCCTTCCTTACTGTGTCCCCAGGTGTCTAAGAAGAACCTGATGGAGATCGTCAAGAGGCTGATGACCCATGTGGACAAGGCCGAGGGCACCACCTACCGCGATGAGCTGCTCACCAAGATCATCGACATCTGCAGCCAGTCCAATTACCAATACATCACCAACTTTGAGTGGTCCGTGCTTGCCACACCACGCTGCCCCTGGGCTGGGAAGGTGTCGTTGCGCTCCTGTGGTGCCTCTTATGGGTCCTTCACACTCACAGGTACATCAGCATCCTGGTGGAGCTGACACGGCTGGAGGGCACCCGCCATGGCCACCTCATCGCTGCACAGATGCTGGATGTGGCCATCCGTGTGAAGGCCATCCGCAAGTTTGCCGTGTCACAGATGTCCGCATTGCTTGATAGCGCTCACCTGGTGGCCAGCAGCACCCAACGGAATGGGATCTGCGAGGTGCTCTATGCCGCCGCCTGGATCTGTGGGGAGTTTTCGGAGTAAGTGTGTGTAGGGTCCCAGATGGTGGGACCAGAGGAAGGAACATGGTATCCGTCTGTCTGCACCCTGCTGCCGTTGACCACTTCCTGCTGGTCCCTGGCTGCTGTGTCTGCCCTGACTGAACCTGCTGAACACAGAAGGTGCCTCTGCTCTGGAACCCCAAAGGGGGCCAGCCAGAGGCACAATTGTGCCATCTTCTTAAGAGGAAAAGTTTAACAGTCATCAGTTTTTGGTCCTAAAGGAACAAATTAGAAGTTAGCAAGCTAGGCCACACTGGTTTGTTGCCTGCAGTTACTAGGCCTTTCCCGTTAGACTCCCTTGCCTCGATCCTAGATTCCTGCACAGCCAGCCATGGGGTTGGTTAGTGTTTCCTGCCCTCTTTTCTCTTGCCCCTTCCCTGCCTGACTGCTCTGAGATCAGCATGCCTTTGCCATCCTTGCTTTAGTTGAGTTCCCATTATAGGCTGTTTGTTTTTCCCGGCTCTTCTCAGTCCTGTCTGGTTCCGCACCTGCTCAGGTAGCGGAACTCTCAAGGTGGCACTTTGGTTCAGAGCCCAGGGCCCCTTTTTCAGCTCCCCACTACTTGGGGTCTCACCATGGCCCTTGTCCTCCAGGCATCTGCAAGAGCCCCACCAGACCCTGGAGGCCATGCTGCGGCCCAAGGTGACCACACTGCCTGGCCACATCCAGGCGGTGTACGTGCAGAACGTAGTGAAGCTGTATGCGTCCATCCTGCAGCAGCAGGAGCAGGCAGCAGAGGCCGAGGCTGCTCAGGAGGTGACGCAGATCATGGTAGAACGGCTGCCACAGTTTGTGCAGAGCGCTGACCTGGAGGTGCAGGAGCGGGTAAGCGGGGTCTGCATCTCCGACACGTGGCCCGTTGTCCCTTTTGTATACAAGTTGGTTGATGTCTATCTCAAGGCTGTGCCCTGCTGGGCTTTGAGTCCCTTAGTAGGGTGTGGGATTGATTGGCCTTGGGGACAGCTTCAGGGGTAAAAATAGCAGTCTGTGGAGATGGAGTGGGGTCCTGCTCCTTCCCCAGGGAGCTCTGGACTTCAAGACAGCAGGCAGGCAAGAGCTTGGGGTGATGGCCTGGGTGTCAGGCTAGTGGCCATGACTCCTCCTGGTGCTGGCCAGCCCTAGTTAGGTGGGTTGCCTGTCTCCATCAGGGAAGAGGCCAGATGTGTGGTACTGGCATGTGTGATGGTGAGAAGAACCAGCCCAGAAGGTGTCTACTGTGGTCACCTTCAGCATGTGATCACTGCACTCTGAAGGCATAGCACTGTCTAGTCAGGCCATGTGCCAACCTGAGGCTGAGTGGCCAGAGCCATTTCCCATAGGAGGTGGCACTGTGGGTATTGCAGAACTAGTGTGTAGTGTTTGTACTAGAGCAAGCTCCTTCTTATCCCTGATAGACTTGTTTCTCTTCTGTTTATTTTATTTTTATTTTGGTTTTTTTTTGGTACTGGGGACCGAACTCAGGACCTTGCCCTTGGGAGGCAGGTGAAGGAACCACTGAGCTAAATCCCCAGCCCTTCTCTCCTTCTGTTTAAAAAGATAGCTGTCTGGGGGGCTAAGGCAGGAAGATCAGAAGCTCAAGCTGAGCCTGGACAACTTAGCAAGACCCTATCAAAATAAAAAATAAAAAGAGTTGGGGTTAGGTAGCTCAGTGGAAAGACCTTGGGCTCAATCCACAGAATGCAAGGGGAAAAGAAAGGAAAAAGTTAGCAGCAGGGGTAGGCTGGGGCTCTGCAGCTGCTGGGCATTGCCATCCCTGGGGACCTGGTCAACTGAGTGACCCCCGTCTCCCTGCAGGCGTCCTGCATCTTGCAACTGGTCAAGCATGTACAGAAGCTGCAGGCCAAGGGCGTGCCCGTTGCAGAGGAAGTGAGCGCCCTCTTTGCCGGGGAGCTGAACCCAGTGGCCCCCAAGGCCCAGAAGAAAGTTCCAGTCCCTGAAGGGTGAGAAGAGAGAGAACCAGGGCAGGGGCTAGCGCTGTAGCTCGCTGAATATGTCCTTGCGCTAGATGTTGTGGGGGGTGGGACTGGCCAGCGCCAGGGTTGTCAGCTGGGAGTGGGGCAGAGTAAGGGGCCTGATCTTGGCACTCACTTTGCCTCTGGGGCTACACTCCACAGGGTCCCTGGGCTCTGTCTGGCCCTCTTGTGACCTCATGGGCTACCAGCCTTCCCACATTTCCATGTCTTCTCTAAGGGGCAGTAATGTCCCTTCTTTGGTCACATGGCTGATGGATGCTAGTGTTCAGGGTGTCACACAGTCGGGCCCATGGTGGCTGCTTCTTAGGGTAGACGTCTCGGGTTTGGCTGGTACAGCAGCACTCTGTCGCTGAGTGGCCTTGTTTCCTGTCCATAACCTCCGTGTCTGATACAGCCTGGACCTGGATGCCTGGATCAATGAGCCACCCTCAGACAGTGAGTCTGAGGACGAGAAGCCCAAGGCCATCTTCCATGATGAGGAGCAGAGGCAGGCGCGACACCGGCAGCCTGAGGTGGATGAGGAGGAGCTGGCCCGCGTAAGTGGGCGCAGCGGCCTCATGCTCTCCTTCACCTCATCCCGGGGGTCTTAGGACAGCGTCCCCATCCAAGTGCAGGCTCCTGACCCCTGGCCCATGCATTGCCTGTCACCTCAGGGGTTCATGTCCCTCTGTCTTCCTGAGCTTTGTTGCCATATGGGCATCCTGACAGCCATGCCTTCTGAGTGGCCACTGGGAGATGGTTGAGCCATGCTCCACTCCAGGCAGCCCCAAGAGCATAGGGATGAGGAGGGAAGCTGGGTCCCGCTATACCCCAGCTGCCGCTCCCTGGTGTGGGTCTCCTTCCTGGAGAGGAGTTGCCCCCAACTCTGTCCTAGGCAGGCCCCTTGGATGGAAGTAGTCATTCCACCTGCTAGAGCGCTGATGCTTCTCCCGACGCCTGCTCTTCCCCGGGAGCCCTGGAGTCTGTACAGCAAAGCCCCAGAATGAGAGGATCCACAGACCCCAGCCCCACCCTAGGGTATGGGGCATCGTCGGGGTTCATGTGGCTCTTGTCCCCACAGCGAAGAGAGGCCCGGAAACAAGAGCAGGCCAACAACCCCTTCTACATCAAGAGCTCTCCCTCCCCACAGAAGGTGAGTCCCCCACCTCCCGTGCACCTGGGACAGCACCGTGCAGCTACCCTGGCCTGACAGGGCACCTGGCACCTGCCTGGTCCTGACAGGGTACGGCAGCACCCACTACCTTCAAGTGACTTCTGCCCAGCTGCCCTAAGGAGGCACCACCTCGTGCAGCCTGTGGGCTGGCACAGCACCCTGGGCTCCTCATTCCTGACGCCTCCAGCTCTCAGGCAGGTCCTGGAGTGCGTAGGAGTCACGGTGACCATGTGGGACAGTGAGGAGACTGGACCTTCCCAGCCCTTGCCTGACTGTGGTCCTCACTCCCCACCCCGGGTCAGGCTGACTGGCTCAGGCCGCTGTCACTTTCCCAACTTGAAAAGCAGAGTGCAGATGGGAAAGGTGGCGGGAGCTTTGCTGTCACTCTGCAGCACACTGGTGTTTCACCCAGTGAATTTCCCCATCCTTAAGAAAAGGTATAGAGAAAGCTGAGCTGTGTTCTGGGGCTCCTGGCCACCCCCTGCGTCTCTGGCAGGACCTTCCTTCCCAGGGATGTGCCTGCCATGTCCCCAAGGCAGCTGCTCTTATGCCTACGGCCCTGGGCACCAGTGACACCTGCCTTGCTCTTGCAGCGGTACCAGGATGCGCCAGGTGTGGAGCACATCCCTGTGGTGCAGATTGACCTCTCCGTCCCCTTGAAAGTCCCAGGCAAGTGCCTGCTGGCTCCCGATGACTTCAGAGTCCTGTGGGTTGCAGGGCCTCCCTGCCTGTCCTCATCCCCATCCACAGAGGTGGCTTCTGCCTGGTGGGCTGACCGGTCACACGTCCCCGCAGGCGTGCCCATGTCTGACCAGTACGTGAAGCTGGAGGAGGAGCGCAGGCATCGGCAGCGATTGGAAAAGGACAAGAAGAAGCGCAGGAAGAAGGAGAAGAAGGGCAAGCACCGGCGCCACAGCTCGCTGCCCACCGAGAGTGATGAGGATATTGCCCCCGCCCAGCAGGTGGACATTGTCACCGAGGAGATGCCTGAGGTCAGTCCCCACCTGGGTGTAGGCATGTCACATCCCTGTCCAGGGCTGCCGGCTCCTGAGACACTGCTTGTCTTCCTCAGCTGGAGGGGCCAAGGAGAGGCTACCAAGCCAGCCCTGTCCTGTGTCCCCCACACACCTGGCCTCTGGGGTGCTCGTTCCTGAGGGCTGGCAGCCCCCATGCAGATCACACTGGGCGATGTACTCCAGGCAGAGCTGCACACTGCCTGCCCTCGGGGACACGGAACTGACCACTCTAGGCAGCTCTGCCTGTGACAGGGCGTGGGAAAGAGATCCTGCCAGGACCCCACAGTGCTGCTAACTGGACACTGCTTCTTCCCTGTCCTCTCAGAATGCTCTGCCCAGTGACGAGGACGACAAAGACCCCAATGACCCATACAGGGCTCTGGACATTGACCTAGACAAGTACGTAAGGGGAAGGCAGGTGTGTCGGTGCCCTGAGGTGGCCACAGGCTGTGTTCTGGGCCACGGGCTACACTCAGGAATGGCAGGGCGGGTAGTGACCCCCTGTGCCAAGATGCCTATGAGGGCTCTGAGGTGCCAGAGAAGCCCCCAGGCCTGGGGCGGCAGAGCGGGTGCAGGGGGCCCTACGGGGGCCAAGGTCAACTCGGCCAGGCGTGGGGTGCTCAGGGAGGTGGCAGAGTCTGCACTCCTGTGGCTGGAGCCTTCCTGGGCACACCTGGCACCCTGTGAAGTCACACATCCGCCTGGTGACCCAGCCCCCTCTTGTCCCAAGACCCTTGGCGGACAGCGAGAAGCTACCCATCCAGAAACATAGAAATGCTGAGAACTCAAAATCCCCCGAGAAAGAGGATGTCCCTGTGGTAGAAAAGAAGAGCAAGAAACCTAAGAAGAAAGAAAAGAAGCACAAAGAGAGAGAGAGAGAGAAAGACAAGAAAAAAGAGAAAGAGAAGAAGGTACACGGTGCCAGGCTGGGCCTGGTCCTTCCCCACCATTGCTTGGGGTCCTGGGTGGCCTGGGGCAGCTGGGTCATTAGTGGGGCACAGCCACAATAACTCAGGTCCCCATCTGATGCCCGTAAGGCTCTCCAGAAGGACACGTGTCCAAGGCCAGGCAGTTTGGCCTTTAGGTCCTGAGGTGCCGCACCTCGGGGTCCCCAGGGCATTTGACTAAACGTTCACCTACAGCTTTTATCTGAAGGAACTGGGGTTTTAAGGAGCCACAACATGGCTGTGTGGCTTTGTGGAACAGCCTAACTCCTCACGCTGTTGTCCATACATCAGCCCTTCCTGGCCAGTGCCCTGCCGTCCTCGTGGGCCAACATGTGGGCTGTTGGCGTCCGTCGTGGTGTGGATCCATGCGTGGTCTGTTAACACATCCAGTCCTGGTTCAGGGCAACCAGGAACGAGAAGGGCGGTGCTGTGAGGCCAGAGCACTGCTGTCCTCATCACTTACCCCTCAGCGCTACCCTCCTGCTGAAACCCCGTCTCCCTGTGGTTTCAGGCTGAGGACTTGGATTTCTGGCTGTCCACCACCCCACCACCAGCCACTACCCCCACCCCCATCCCGTCCATGGTAAGAGCTGGCAGACGTCTCACCTGGACACTGGATGCAGGGCCAGGTGCTGGGCAGGCATTGCTCCATTGACCCTGGGTGCAGGCCTAGAGCCTGGCACTGTGGGGTGTCCTCGCCAAACCGGCACTCCCTCCCCTGGGCTGGCTTCCCGGTACTCCCAGGGGCCCAGCAGTTGGCTGAGACCCACCAAGGTGGGAAGGGCAACCAGCCAGGGCTGCTGTCCACAGGCTCCCTGTCCCGTGGAGGGAGTCCCCAGCTCCTCCCGGCCTGCTGGGGTGGTGTCCAAGGCCCCCTTTCTCCTATGGAGCCGTGAGCCCCCGACCTTCTCGGATCCTGCAGGAGGAGCTTGGTGTGAATGCAGTCACCACCCCTGCCAACACTTGTGAAGGACCCAAGAGAGAGGAGGCAGAGGATGAGGATGATGAAGCAGAGCAGGATCCTGAGAGGGTGAGGAGCCATGGCAGGCAAGGGGTGTGGGCTGTGGACAGGCAGAGCAGGGCCGGGCCGGGCGCACAGAGGTGGCCCTGCTTTTGTAGCTACGTGGGCCGGGCCCCAGTGTGAGGAGTGGGACAGGGCAGCTGCTCACACCCGGTACAGAGGGGCGGTGCCGCCAGGCCTCTTCATGGGGGGCTTTGTGCCACTTTTGTTTGTGTTTATTTCAGTAACAGATTTATATATGTATTGGGGTTTTGGGGGTTTGTTTGCTTTTTGAGATAGGGTCTCCCTGTGTGGTCCAGGCTAGCCTTGAACTCACGCCTCAGCCTCCCAAATACTGGGATTATAGCCGTGTGCTGTCACATCCAGCAGACTCCAGCCTTGTAAAAATGTATGGTTTGGTGGGCCAGGCATGGTGGTACATGCCTGTAATCCCAGAACTTAGGAGGCTGAAGCAGGAGGATCACCACAAGTTTGAGGTCAAGTTGGGCTACGTGATGAGCTCAAGGACAGCCTGAACTACATATGGAGATCCTTTTTCAAAACAACAATCAATGAATAAGTAAAGTGTACAGTTTGGTGAGGCAGAAGAGACAAAAGTTTCAGTCCAGGGTCCAGGGATTTAGCTCAATGGTGTCACCGCCTGCCTCGCAAGTGGAAGGTCCCAAGTTTGACATTTAGTACCAGGGAAAAAAAAAGTTTCAGTCCAGCCTGGGCAACTTAGCAAGACTTTGTTTTACAAAATGAAAAAGAAAAAAAAAAGTTAGGAATATGGCTCAGCTCGAAGGAATTTGGTATACCAGGCTATACTATGTGGACAGTACCGTTTAGTATATCGACAGTTATAAAACCATCATCTCTGCTTAATTCTAATTCTAAGATACACAACTTCCGAGGAAGCCCCACCTATCCCCTCCTAGCCTAGCACCCACGAGTCCACTTCATATCTCTGGAGTCTCTGTCCTGGGCACTTCATGTCCGTGGAGCCCATGCTGTGTATCTGTGTCTGGCATCTGTCCCTCGTCTCTGAGCACTGTACCCTCAGGGTTTGTCCACACCATGCCGAGTGTCACAGTCTCACCCCTTTCCTGGCTGAGTGCTGTCCCAGGGCCTGGATGGACCTCACTATGCCCATCATCCATCCATGAGCCCTGGGGCCGTCTCTCTGCCGCCAGGGAGACTGGGCCCTCACTCCCTCACCGACTGTTTCCTTCCCTCTGGAGTGTAGCTGAGGCCAGTAGGAGGGTGCTGTGCTGTTCCCGCCAGGCCCCTCTTCTGAGCAGCACCAGCTCCCACCACTGACCTGAGTTCGCAGATCCTCCTCTCAGTCAGGTCTGGTCTGATCTGGCCTGGGGGGTGGGTAGTGAGGGGGACAGGGACGTCTGGTGCTCCCATCCCTCTGTACCCCTAGCCTTGGAGCCATCGGTCACTGTGGCTCCACCATGTGACATGAGGGGAGAGAGCGAACATTGGCTGCTGCTCAGTGGGGAAAGGTTTGGGACTTGAGCCTAGACTCCCCCTATGCAGAAATTCACCAGGCACAAGAAGAAGAAGCACAAGAAGGAGAAGGAGGAGAGGACCAAAGACAAGAAGAAGGTTAAAAAGAAGCAACCAGAGCCCGGGGAGGAGGCAGCAGGGCCAGTGGAGAACGGTGCGGCTGAGGAGGAGCCCATCCCAGTGAGTTACCCCAGCCCCTCCCAAGGTCAGGCATCCGCCTGAACGCACAGCCATCCCCCCAGCCTGTGGGGACCCGGAGCCTGGAGAGGCCTCCACGTCTCACCTGAGCTCTGTGTAGCTCCTGGGCTGACACACCTTCTCCTTCCGTAGCCCATGTCCAGCTACTGCCTCCTTGCTGAGAATTCCTACATCAAAATGGTGAGTGACACCTGCTCTCTGCAGAGGGACCTTGAGGGGCTGGTGGCTACCCCACAAGCTCCCGAGGCTCCCAGACATCATCCCGGGGTGCTGTCACTCCAGCACCACCCAGAGCCCAGCAGTGCTCCTGGCTATGTGTCATAGCGGAGGCCCTGTCCCTCTCCCACACTGCGATCACAGTGGCTCTGCGTCACAGCAAAGCACCGGTCAGTGCTGCAGTCTCTGGCAATGAGCTCACAACCCAGCCGATCCCCAGCGTTCACGCCCTACCCCCCTGAACCCATGCCTTGTGTGGCACAGACATACGACATCCAGGCCAGCCTGCAGAAGGACAGCCAGGTCACTGTGTCCATTATCCTGGAAAACCAGAGCAGCAGCTTCCTCAAGAACATGGAGCTCAATGTGCTGGACTCACTCAACGCCAAGATGGCCCGGCCAGAAGGCTCCTCCGTGCATGACGGTGTCCCCGTGCCTTTCCAGCTGCCCCCAGGTGAGTGCAGGCTCCTTTTGCCCTCAGTCGTGAGGTGACTTTGAGACCACAAACTTGAGTCTCATTGCTGCTCTCAGAGAAGCATGGTGACCTCGGTGGATGGCAGTGGGGGCCCTGGGGCAGGCGGAGGCCCTGGGCACTTCTTTATCCTGGGACGGTTTTACCGATCAGACTGGGGTCAGGACCAGGTTCAGGCCAATTTGGGGACACCAGTAGCCCATGTTCCTTCCCCTGTCTCCCTGGCACTGCCTGGGCCTGAGCCCAGCTGCCCACCCAGCCATGGGAGGGTCGATAGCCGGCACTGGGGTCAGACCGTGGTGGCCCAGCTGAGCCCCACCGTATCCCAGGCCTGCTCTTTCTCATCCGCATCAGGCGTCTCCAATGAAGCTCAGTTCGTGTTCACTATCCAGAGCATCATCATGGCTCAGAAGCTCAAGGGCACCCTGTCCTTCATCGCCAAGGTACACAGCACTGGGAGCCCACAGCCCCGCCAGCTCCATGTCTTTTTTACCCCACTCAGTGGGTGCTGGGCATCCTCAGGGACAACGAGCGCCTCCCTGGGGTCCTACACAAGCTGCCTCCCCTACCCCTCAGGACGCCAGTGGGGCCACACACGAGAAGCTGGACTTCCGGCTGCACTTCAGCTGCAGCTCCTACCTGGTCACTACTCCCTGCTACAGGTGCGTGTGTGACCTCACAGCCGGCCAGGCCACCCTCCCTGGCTTGCCGATGGCGACTCCCCTGTGCCTTCCCTCAGCTCTGCCCATGTACACCCACTCTAATGACCTAAACGCCTCAATGAGTTGTTTTTTTTTTTTTTTTCCAATACAAGATATTGAACCTAGAGCCTTTGCACAGAGCTACATAAGTAGTCCTCTTTATTTTTCTATGTTTAGACAGGGTCTTGCTAAGTCACTCAAGATGCCCTGATTGGACTCAAATTATAATCTTCTTGCCTCAGCCTGGGATAACAGGCATTGTGACAGGTATCCGGCTCCTCAGTGACCTCTTTGGAGGCCAAGTACTGACTCCAAATACAGTTACATTCTGGGGCCCTGGGGTGACAGCTTCAGTGTAAGGATTTTTATGAGGACAGTTTAGCCCATAACATTGTGTCACCCCTTTAGTCCTTTGTCCTTTCCACAGTGATGCCTTTGCCAAGCTGCTGGAGTCGGGGGACCTGAGCATGAGCTCAATCAAAGTCGATGGCATCAGTATGTCCTTCCAGAACCTTCTGGCAAAGATCTGTTTTCACCACCATTTTTCTGGTAAGGGATGTAACACTGCATTCACACTCAGTCGGCCACCCTGGCTCGTGTCACAGACCCCACTCGGGCCAGGCTGCCCCTCCATCCTCGACCTTGGCCTGTGGCCTGGCTTCTGGGGACCCTGCTCAGGCTCAGCGCTGGTTCCCTTGCAGTGGTAGAGCGAGTGGACTCCTGTGCCTCCATGTACAGCCGCTCCATCCAGGGCCACCATGTCTGCCTCCTGGTGAAGAAGGTGAGGACCTAGCCCCTGCTCTGCGGCCAAGGTGGGAGGGATGAGGCTCCAGGGCTCCCGTGTCCTCTGAGGGCTCCTTGGGACCACAGGTGGTCTCTCTCTCTGCTCTGTGGGGGAGAGATGGGCACAGTGTGCTTTCTCCTGTCACCTGTTTCGTCTCAGGGATCACTGGAGCAATAATACTCCAGAACGCATCTCCAGATGAGGAACAGAACGGGACAGGGACGTAGCTCGAGGCGGAGGCCCTGCCTTCACTCCTAGTACCAAGCGAAAGCATGCAGGGCCCAGTGGGGTGTAGCTCAGCAGGGTTGGCAGGGACAGCAGGTGGGAGGCAGGGCAGCCATGTCCCTCTTTCCCCCAGGGAGAGCACATGGTGTCAGTGGACGGGAAGTGCAGTGACTGCATCCTGCTGAGCAACCTGCTGGAGGAGATGAAGGCGACGCTTGCCCAGTGCTGAGACCACCGACCCCCACGGAGGACGCCCCATGGACAGATGCACAGACATGCAGATGGACACTCCAGGCCTCCCTTCTGTCACGTGTACTGTCCCATGCCACAGCATTCATGTAATCCACCGTCGTCCACTGTGCAGACACCAGAGGTCCGTGTTGCTTTGATGTATCTTTTTGATTGTCCGCCGTCTTTCCGGAGGCCCTGGCCGGCCCCTCCTCAATAGGGATCCCCCAGCTCTGCCACGGGGGGGCCACCAGGTAGTAGGAGAACCCCCGGACCGGGACCTGGTGGGCACCAGGGTGCTTGGCAGACAGGGCAGGGCTCACGGAACCCCTGCTGGCTGCTTTTGCCCCAGCCGTCCTGACCGGTGGCATCTGCAGGAAGGTGACAGGCAATTGTCACCGAGCTGCTGTCCCCTGAGCCCGTGGCGGAAAAGGGTCCTGCGGGCACTATATGATGTCTACATGCTTGGGAGCTGCTGGCGGGGACCTGGACCTGGGTCCCAGCTACAGGCGCGGCCAGGCACAGAATCGATGACAGGGAGGGGACCTTGGATCTTCCTCTCGTTCCACAGAAGTGGGTTTGTGTGGGCCACTGGGTGTGTGGTGGCAACACTGTACGGTTCCCTCCCCCAAGCAGATGCACCACAAATCTTGTCCCTTTGTGGCATCCAGGTGGGGCTGGGAGGGTACAGCTGCCCGTGTCCTCTGGCCAGACCCTAAGACACCATCTCCAGCACAGCAGCCGCTGGCAGGGTGAGGGCCCTCACTGGTCACTCCAGACTTTCCTCAGAGATGACGCTGTCCATGGCGTCCTACCTGTTCCTTTTGACGACAGTTGTCACTTTAGCATGTAGAATAATCTATTACAGAATCCCGTGCCGTGATTCTAGAACTCTGAAATTGTATGATGTGTTACATAACTATTTGCTATCGACATTCCCGTATAAAGAAGAGAGACATATCATGCTGCTGTAATGATTTTTGTGTCAAGATGATCCAATAAAGTTGCAAAACAGACATTAGCACATCACGTCTCCTGCCTGTCAGCACCCAGCTCGGGGTCACAAGGTGCTGAGACTATGGCTCATTGCCCCTTGGGAGATGACCGAGGTCCCCTTCACAGCGTCCAGACTTCTGGCCCATGAACAGGGCGCTGTTGCCTGCTCTGCCTTCCCTGGAGAACCCTTGGCTCCTAGCTGTGAGGTGAGTGGGAGCAGAGGCTGCTAAAGGCCATGGAAGAGTGACTGGCCTCACTGATCCCGAGTAGACCAGGGACAGTTGAACAAAGTTCACTTGGTCAGCAGGAGAGAGGCACGGGGAATCATGGGCCTGCCTGACCCTGGCTACCCGCCCCATGCCAGCACCCCTCCTGGGAAACCCTTCTGGCTGAAAACACCCGGGGACCTCTCTGTTGCCCTTACCCCCATGCTGCCAGGACCCTTAGAGGACGGCACTAGTCAGTAGCAGCACAAATGGGGTGCTGCTTATCCAGTGGTTCCTGGCATCTGTGTGTGGGTGCCCAGCCAAGTGGGGCTCTGACTTCCCAGTCTGTGTGGCAGGCAGGGCAGACCTCAGGAGCCTGTGTGCTGGTCCACATGATTGCCTGTTCCTCCTAGGAATTCGGGCAGAAAAGCACTGGGTAGAACCTCAAAACCCTCACGGGGCCAGCAGACCCCTAGGATGAGCAGCTAAAGACAGCAAGGGAACCCTCCAGCCCAGGTCGGGGATCATGAAAAAGGACTGAGCCCTACGCTGGGCCCTTGAGCGCATGTCCTCTGCCACCCCACACAGATCTGGGCCAAAGCTGCCCAGTGTTGGTGCCTCCAAGAAAGGATGCCCAAGGCCCAAGCTTCCTGCTTCTTTAGCCTGGCTCCAGCGTACGTGACCTGAACACCACACTGAAAGCTGACCTGGCTTCACCCAACTACAGCCTCATTCTGTGTCATCAAAAAGAATTCCTTGCTAGGTGCAGTGGCACTTGCCTGTCATCCTAGCTATGGAGGCAGAGGTAGGATGATCACAAGTTCAAGACCGGCCTAGGCAATTTAGGAAGAGCCTGTCAGAAAAGGGCTGGGGATGTGGTTCAGTGGCAAGCCCTTGCCTAGCATGTACAAGGCCCTGGTTCCATCCCCGACACCCCAAAAAGAAGAAAAAAAAACTTCCCATAAGCCTGTCCAAGTTTGCCAAAGTGGACCAGAGTGAAATATTGGGGACCCTTGGTACCTCTCCGGTCAGCCCTGGCTCTCCATTCCCTCATCTCTGCCTGAGGCTCAGATCCACCCCTGTGCTCAGGCGGGGACCTTTAGGCCTCCAAATCCCACCACCTGCTCTTTATCCCTGTGAACTGTTCCTCCTGACGTTACAAGAACTGACCCTCCTTGAGAAATGTTAGGCACTTTTAATTGTCATAAATGGCCTGATGGCCCTGCCCAAGGCTGATGCTATATACAAACTTGCCCCTTGCCCCTGCCCCAGCCCAGCCCCAGGCCCTCTGAGGGCTGGAGGGAACCCAAGGCAGAGGGACAGGCCAGTTCAGCCAGCTGAGTTCCTGGTCTCGGCTGCAGCTCCTGTCAGTGCTGGGTCAGACACTCCGAGGTGTTCTCCAAGGTCAGGTTGACCAGGTGCTGCGGCTCCAGACACAAGATGCTTGGTGATAGGCTGTGGAGGACACAGCACCCTCGGACCTTCCTTGCTTTCCTTCCCTGGCTGGTCTCTGTTGAGGGGCCCTGGGCCTCCTCCCAGCTGGGATATATGGTCCTGAGAACAGTTGTGTCCCCAAGAAAGCACCCTATGGGGTACCCCACCATCCTTCCCCATCACCCAGGGGACTGGGACTGTGTGACGGGGCATGACGAGGTCTGCAGCAAAGCAACAGACAAGCCAGGATCTCTGGTTTTGTGCTCCCCAACCCAGGGCCACCTGCTTCTGTGTGACCTCCCTCTGTGGGTCACTCACAAGGCTGGGGTAGCTCTGCGTGTCCCAGGCAAGAAGATGCAGGAAGAAGAGGGCAGTTCGTTCATGAGATGACCAAGTGGTGTTACGTGGGTAAGGTGGTGGAACAGGTGGCCAGTGGTCCCAGGTACACAGAGAGCCCTGGCCGCAGTGCCCACCCTGCCCAACACCCCTGTTCATCCGTCCCCACTGACCCAGAGGACCCCGCAGCACCCTCTCCCCCCACTCCCTCCTGCCCTCCTCTGGGGTGCCAGGCCTTACCTCATGCTGGTGTCCTGTCTGAAAGATACGTGGGGTTTGGGTCAGACCCCCAGCTCTGGGGCCAGGATGTGTCCCTGGTTCTTATGTTCCTCCTCTGGAGTGTTGACTACAGCTCTGCCATTGACTCAAGATAAACTAGACCATTATTTTTTTTGTCCAGTACTGAAGTCCAGGGCCTCTGTGCTGATCTACATCTCCAGCCGCCCCTCCCTTAAAGACAGGGTCACACTAAGTTGCTAAATTGCTCAAGCTGAGCTTGAACTTGTGAGCCACCTGCCTCAGCCCTCCAGAGTGCTGGGGTGACAGACATGTGGCACTGTACCCAGCTAGGGTAGACTAAACTCTCTGGGGACACTTGAGCAGGATGCTCTGTGCCCTCCAGCTGAGCTGAGCCCTGAAGAGAAGGGATCTGGGGCTGTCTCCTGTACTGGCTGGGACAGGATGAAGTCCTGCCTCCCTGCTGCACTTCTACAGGCCTCAGAAGCCCCTCCAACTTCACGTACCCCTGAGGTACTCACACATACACAGTAGCTCTGACAAAACTTGTGTTGGATTGGAGGGTGGGGGACTTACCCTCCAATTAGATCTGTTCCAATTAGATCTGCAATGACAGCAAGTTTGCAGTCAGGAACAAGAGGCCTCCATCGGTGTCCCCCCTCCATGTGCCTGCCCCAAGTCCTCCAACTCACATGTAAATGAGAAGGCCCTGCACAGCACTCTTCCACTCTGCGGAGGACCTGTGAGGACAAGGGGGTTGGAGGTGGCCACGCCCACTGCCCCAGGCCCCACCCTGCCCAGCCCTGAGCCCAGAGCCCAAGGTGCAGGCAGGGCTGGTGCTGAAGTCCTACTCGCAGTTGTAGCCAAAGCAGACGACATGCGAGTCAGAGCAGTTATGGCAGGAGATGGTCTTGTACTGAAAGATGCCTGCAACACAGGAGAGGCAGCAGCAGGCTCCCCTGGGCCTCCAGGCCAAACCACCACTGCTCACTCTGCCCTCAGCCTGGACCAGATGTCACTCACCACAGTGACGCTGACAGTTGATTTGGCCTGTGGGGGTGTGGAAGAAGCATTTTTTTGTTGATTGTTTTTGCAATACTGGAGATTGAACCCAGGGCCTTTGCACTGAGCTAAATCTCCCAAATACAGTTTCTATTTTCCAGTCAAGATTTTGCTGAGTCACTAATTTTTCCAAGACTGGGCTCAAACTGGTGATCCTCCTGCTTCACCTTCCCAGATTGTTGGGGTGACTGGGGTCCACCATGCCCAGTTAAGAATAGCACCTTCTTACCAGATCCAGGCTCACCCCTGGCTTTCCCCAGAGGCTCAGGGCCTGTTCCTCAGCCACACGGGGCATGTGCACATCTGGATTTCATAATCCAGAGGGAAGGGGCCTCTGAGGTGGCCCCCAGAGTGGAGGAGGGGGATTGCAACACCCCTAGGCCCTGCAGGGGAATCGTTTGGCCAGTGCTAGAGGAGTGATGGCATCCACCCTTCTGGGGCACTGTTCCCTTCCCCCTCTGCCTGAGGGCAGCAGCCAGCTCCAAGTCTTGGTCCCCAGCAGTGCCCTGCCCCGGCGGCCCCTGACACCCTCTTCTGGCTCTGGACCACGTCCCCTCCTCAGCTCACTTTTGATGATGGCATTCTGGATGAGATGCACCTGCTCGCGGAATATGACTCGAAGCTCACTGGGGAAATATCCTGGTGTCAGAGGTAGAGGAGGGATGTCAGGCTTGGGCGGCGTGGGTGGACAGGGTAGGAGGTCCCTGCCTCAGCTTCCTGTGCCTTACCCGGGAAGTACATCTTCCCCTGGTACAACCGATCCATCTTCCGGTACACAGTTCTGGCCACCTGGTCCAGATCCTCATGGGCTGTGAGCAGGAGGAGAAGGTGGCAGATGAGCCACGCTGCTAGGCCCGGGGGTCACGCTAGACCTTTGGGCTTCCCCACTTTGGGCTCCACGCTCACTGATCTCCGCCGGGATGGCCAGGCGTAGCTCTCTCATGGTGTCCCGGCTCCAGTCGGTGAGCAGAGCCCCCGACACAGGGATGTCACCCACCCACCAAGACTTGAGGTTCACGTGGTGGCGGTAGAAAGAGAATTTCTCCGAGAAGTTATTATGGCAATGAAGACAGCCGTGGGCCAGCGCCGCAGTCATCCCCAAGCACAGTAGTAGGGCCATGGCCCCCGCCACCTGTTACCGGCCAACCAACGGTGGCCACCGCGCCACGCCCCTCGCCGCGCACCAACCAATGGCGTCCGCTCGGATCCAGGGCCGCGCCTGTCCTGCTCCACAATCCGGGCCCAGCCGCGGTGTCAACCGGCAACTGACTACACTGGTTCCGCCCTCAGGTCTCGCCCATGAGATGCCACTCACAGAGAAGGTTCCACCCCTATCTTGGTCCCTTCCCCGACAGCTCCTCACGCATGCGCCAACGAGAGCTAGCTCCGCCTTCTGGATCGGCCCCGCCCAGTGCCCCCAATAGAGTAACAAGCTCCGCCTACAAGTGGTCACTAGCTAATTGGGAGTCAGCAATTTAGTGATTGCTAGGCAACGAGAGCGCAGCGAAGGAGGCCCGACTCTGCGCCTTCTTTAGGAAATTGGTCCTTTACTGGAAGTAGGTCCGGCCCGCGGGTGCGGCAGGGGCGTGGCCTTCGCAGAGTCCCTCCGCGGGCGGCGGCAGG